GGTTTTGGTCCAGAATATGCAGATATAATTCTTCTCAAAGCATGACTTGACTTTACATCCAAATTGTTACAAAACAGGACAAACCTAGAAAATCAGATAATTTCTACTCTCAAAAAATTATCCTGCTATTAGCTTAGAAAAATCACCTCTGGTTTTTTGAGAGAGCATTTGTTATACACAAGGACTTACAAGAAGTAAATGTGTACACTTTACACATTCTGGTGAGATTCATGACCATCTATTTTACTTCTTGATAGGAGACTCCATCTTATTCCTTCTTTCTATCCCCTTCCCCAAAACATACTCTGTGGCTTTCCCAGAATAGATACTTCATGGATATTTATTGATGATAAAGATTGTTCTCCTAAAATGATAAATTATTCATTTGAAACACAGTGTAACCACAACTAAGTAACGCATTGGCTGACCCTTTTTTCATGCTTATGACCCTGAAACCACTCCGCAGGCTCACACGTGTGTACGTGCAGACCCATGGAATTCTGGGCCATGAAATATTTAATCCCATCAAGGGACAAAGGACCTGATTTTGGGTAGAAACATATAAGGTGAGGTTTTATAGACAAGGTAAAACTGTTCACATGTTTAAAGGAGAAAACCCAGCTCAATTTCCTCTTTTGCTCAGCCTTTTCAGTAATTTGTGAAAAGCTATCAGAGAAAAGCGTCTGCCTATTATCTGGTCTCCTGGATTCATTTTTAATATTCTAGTCATCAATGGAATATTGTATTTAATATGCTATTTAAGTCTAGTTAGATGCTTTCTGAACATTGTTCTGCTAGTTAAATTCTTAAATTATTTTTCCTTTTATATTCATGGAGTTTCATTTAGTCCACTGAGTTACCAAAAGGACACCTTTGATCCTTTTATTAATTAACCAGGTCCTGATGGCTTTGTTTTGAAACAGAGGGTCCCTTTCAGAGGCCCCGGTTCGGTAATGGAACTGAACTGCCCTGCAGATGAACTTCTTTGCTTAATAACAGGAACTTGGGATGACCGTCAGTGACCTGTGGTTGAGCACCTGGGATGGGTTCAAGCTCACCTCTCAAATGTTTCCACTTGGCAAACCACGCGGAAAAACAAGGTGGTGATAAAATTATGTCGAAGACAACTTTATTCACTCTATACAAACTGCTCTTTTTCCTGGGCATCGGGAACCTTCCTGAGTGCTCCACATTTATTTGAAGAGCGGATATCTAACACAGACCGTGTAGAATGGTTTTCCTCTGTGTTCTGTAAAGTGTTGAAATGCACAAATTCCTGTTCTCATTCTTATCATTCAATAGGTAAGATCTTTTTTAGAATCTGACACTGGATTTTTAGTAGAGGTTAATCAGAAATGGTTTGGCTATGAAATAAACATAAACACAAAGAAACGTGTGTATATATGTGAAATACAGATATATAATTATGTATGCATGAAATATATATGTTTATATACATATGCATACATATGTGCACATATATACATACTTATATTTGCCTAAAAGATATTTTAAATCAAACAGGAAACATTTATCTGAAGTAATTAAGGATTTGCCCTATTTTGCAGGGTCCATCATGTGGACAGAAGGGAACTATGTATTTGCAAGAGAAAGACTTCTTTCTTTCAATCAGTTGCAGTGGTATTTATTTCTTCTCCCTGAGAATGTTTCTTTCTCAAGAAAGATATAATAAGCAAACCAGAAAATAGTGTTCATCAGAACAACGTACTTTTAATTTATAATCTCCAGGAGAGTCCCTTGTGAAAATAATTAACTTCCCAGATTGGTCTGGTTTATAGCATTGCTTCATTGGCTTTATCTATATCATTTACAAAATTAAGTGGGTATGCAAAAATAATCTGGTAGCGGAAATATGTTTCATGTACTTAACTTGCATCAAAGGACATGCAATAAAAACAACATACTTTGTGGGAAAGAACTTATGCACAGAAACAAAACTAAATGAAATTTACATTGCATACAAGAATAATCTCGATTAGAACCATGTACTTCTCCATTCAAATAAATGAGTATGGAACTACTGACAGATTTTGACAGTATTTTCAAGGTTTCCCATGCCACCTGTATAAGTGTTTATCCTGTATTGTCTTCCTTGGTCCGTGAATTGTTCTGTATATTTGTAAGTGTACTATCTATGCATTGAACACTTTATATTGTCAAAATTGCGTATTTCTGACTATTTTTTCCTAACACAGCATATCTCAGGTGTTAGTGTTGGTATCTCCACCGAAAGGAACATGGCGCTTAAACAACATTCCTAAGTTTACCCAGTTAATATTTGAAGGGCTGAGACTAGAATTCAATTTTGTTTGACTCCTAATCCTAGGGCATTTCAATGGAAAACATCTTCTTCAAGCCAGCTGACAAAAAGAGAAAGCAAAAGATATGTGGAAGGAGGTCCAGCCCAGCAGGTTTCGGAAGTTCAAAAAAATGCAACATTTCGTTAATTCTGCGTCACTCTCTGTCCAACTGCAGGGCACACATCTTATAACACCAGTCCCAAGTCAGCTGACCAATATGAGCCACCTGAAGACACGATTCCTAACCCGAGCTCAGGACTGCCCTGTTCTGCCCACCTGTTAATATATTTTGTAATGTTTGGGAGTCTTCAGCTTTGAAAACAGTAGAATAAATGGCAACTACAGAGCAGCCTAACTGAAGAGAACACAAGCTTGCGTCGTGAAGACTCAAATGAAATGACGTGTGATTGCTGGGAGACTGGCCCTCCTGGAGCAAGTTGAACCTCTTTGTCTTTTCCTGGCCACTGAAAGTGTGTTGTCTTAGCAAATTTCATTTCTTCTTTGTGCTGTCATCCCTCTTCGTTTTCTATTCTCCTTCCACTAAATAATCATGACCAAAGAAACAACATATTATTCTCCATATCTGCCTGTTTGGTGGAATATATATGTCTGTGATTCAAATGCAACCCACACTTTCTCTGAAGGACCACTTAAAAAGATAGCGGGAACTCAATACAAATACTTGGAAAGATACCATCAAAAGGAGGTAGTGGAAGGGACCTGGTATAGAGAAAACCTCAATTCTCCTCACTGTCTTCACAAAATAGGAAAGTTAAATGTAGTAATCAGGACAAGCTAGGTCAGACTGAAGTGACAATGTTAAAATCTCGAGGACGTGAAATAGTGGAATTATAGCCTTGCTTACATTCCACATCGGCGGCAGGTAGGCAATAGAGCTGTGCTCGTTGTAGTCACACAGGGACACAGGCTGGCGGAGCAGCCCCTCAAACACACACAGTGTCATAGGAGGGAATCATCGCAAGTTTCTGCAACCAGCATTTGAATACTTCAGCCTAAAAGTGACGTAGCACTTTTGCTCTCAACTCACTGGCTAGAATGAGTCACATGGCTCTGCCTACAAAAAAGACTCATGGGTACAATCCTACCCTGTTCCCAGAAGGCAGAGAGCTGGACAGACTTGGTCAACCGAAGGGATGATTACCACACCAAGAACATATTTAACATTTAAGTAATTTTTAATGAAACCAATACAGGAAAATACTCTCAGATTATCAGAATGGAAGTGTCAAACATTGAAACACACAAAAAAAGAGACACGAGGATGACAGAGCAGTTGGTAACTTATGAAACATGAAACTCAAAGAAGTGGTACTAAGTGAACTACAAATTCACAATGGGCTTTGGCGGATTTACTGATGGCAAAGCTACATGGGGCCAAACAACTAATGCTTACCTCTGAGGTTGCTCAGAGGAATGCAAAACCTACTGAACACAAAAAGAACTCTGGTACCATGGTTAGCTGGAGAATTGCTTGGGGTGACCTTGGAACTGACCTAGTCCATCAAGCCTGGTTCTATTAATTTACTAAGGCCCCTTCAAATAGTAGTTGAATGATACTACTTTTGGAATCAACAGAGGAAGACCTTTCCTAACTCACATAGCATAATTTCTGGATTAAAACATGGAGGAAACAATGAAGCGAAACATAAATTCTACTTAACAATTCTCTTCTTTGTCAGCACCAAAGAATCAGCTTGACGGAAGTGCATGAGAAGTTTTTCCTGGCTGACATAATGAAGAAATACTTTGTCCATATTCACTTCCTTTCTTGGATTCCCCATCACCAGCTCTAAGTTACTCTCTTTCTCCTTCTGCCATATTCCTTTGATCCAACTCTTATCTATTCTACTTTCAGTTATAGTTCCCTGTTTTAATGACCTTTCTGGTGAACTCCAAAGTACTTCCAAAGTTCAATTCCTCCCTTAAAAAATTCTGGACAGGGCAGACTACATGAGTATACAGAAAATAATCTGAGATCATTCATTACATTTCATAATGAACCTTGAATTCCTAAAAAATGCTGCCAATAGACTGTTCCATTTCCAGAGGTACCTTTTCTTTTCCCTGGATTTTGGATTCTGCATCTGTCAAATGTATATGATAACACAAACAACCGAGGAGGAAATTCATTGTTGGTGGTTGACATTTTGTCCATAGTCTTTTTGTTTCTTTTAATGTGTTCATGCCCTTTAAGAATTCAGCAGGACAACATGTAGGCTCCCTATCTCCCCAGCACAGCATCACAAACAGAACATGATGGTCGTTCTTCCTTCCAGGAGAGCCAGATACAAATCTGCTCACCTCCAAGGACCCAGAGAGAAGCCAGGAAGTACAGTGATGGAGGAGGGTGGTTTGCTCCATACCTGAGCAGCTGTCTCAGGGAAGCAGGGTGTGCTATCTCTGATGAGGCCAGCTAAGGGCAAGTGAGCCTTTTCTCACTCTCTGAAGATCTGAAATCAAGAGTGGTACAACCCTCCCAGACAGAGGTCACTTGATTAACCCAGCCCACGTTATTCTGATAACAAGGTCAAGTACTTCTCACTGTGAGAAATTTTCAATTTATTTCACAGACAAGATAGTTCAATCTAAGCCAGAATCCCTGCTCCCCTGGGGATGCTGTTAGAAAATGCTGAGGGAGGAGAGCCAAGAGCCCTTTGCTGGGGTCCTGCCTTCCCAGTCTTCGGGGTCCATCTGGCCAGGGTCCCACTTGTTCCCCTGCTGGGAGTTCTCTGCTGTATCTTTACAAAAAAGGAGCCAGAGAATTAAGAAAGAGAATAAAGTCAGCTCTTCCCAAGTTCCATCGGGATTCAGAGCAGCCTTCAAAGGAAGGGGCTCCTTTCTGCTGTTGTTTGGCTTTACTTTGCATTCAGTTGAAATTTCTGTGTAATTTATTACAAAAGAAGTCAGTTGCTTTTGCTTGCCTCCCATTCCTTCTCTCTCCCCCACATTTTACTTTAAAGAACCATATCCTTCTTTATTCTCAGCCCATTTGATTTACAAGGGACTCCTTAAACCCCTGATCCAGGGAGGGTATAAAACATCTGAGTTGTCACTGACAGAGCTATATCCGTCTGACTACAGGCTAGTTAAGAGACGCCCACTTCCCCCCGAGTCGAGCCAGTGAGAACTGTCAACCTGGGCTCCTGGGGTGCAAACAGGGGAGAGGCAGTGTCTTTTGAATGGGGTTGATAAATTGACTAAATAAAAAACTGTGGCTTCCTGTGGCCATTCTTGTCTTTTTACACGTTGGTTTCATTCTCAGGCAGACTTCCCATATGGTAGCAATGAAAAGAGATGGAGACAGGGGGAGAGTAGAAGACAGGGGAGTAATCTGGTGACACTTTGGCTCTGAGTTCATCCATGCCTGTAAACTGCATCCTTGGACTTCCCAACTAAATAAGCTCATAACTTCACATTTCTCCTTAAATTTGTTTGAACTGAGTATGTTCATTGCATCAGGAAAAAACACACACACACACACACAAAACCTCAAAACAAAGCAAAATGTCTGTTGCTCTTTTCCTGGTGCCGCAGCCCAGGCATTTGGGGGGCCTACAGAAGCCAAGTGGTATCCAAATCCAAGTCCGTAGCGCGGTAGAATACGAGGACCACGAGACTTGAGAGTCAGTTGCAGTAACTGAATTCCTTTAGTTTAAAGCGACTGAGTCAGAGAGAGGGATTAAAGGACCACACTTAGGACAAAAACAACAGGATTTCCATGGGCAGCCCCTGTTTCACAGGTTCTTGACATGTGCCTCAGTTTCATTTTGATTTTACCACTAAATTTATCAATGGCAGTAATGATACTCTCCTTAATTGGAGATAGATTTATAGATTTTATTTTATTTACTTATTTCTGTAAGTAAGAATGTACTCACTCTATGCACAGTAAACCCCCTCTCTGGGCAGCAACTTACATTGAGCAGTTTGCCTCACAATTAGTCTCTAGGGAGTGGTCATAGGTAAACTGTTGAAGATGGGAGCCTTAATCTGCTGATCCAGTTCATCTCCTTACCAGTGGGTCTGGATGTACCTGTCCATCACTACGGAGGGTTGAGAGGTACCAGTTTCTATTGGGAAACTGTCACCGGTAGGAAAGCCTGCTGATGTATTTAGATTTCTCTACTTGCCTTTAATATAGCCTATGCACTAATGTCACTGCCAGAAGGATCCACAGTTAACTCTGAACTAATCTAGTGTCTTATTTTAAGTTTTTTATTGAATGAAAGATTCTTTACATTCTGTAGTGTTTTACAATTTTCAAAAGTTTCACAAATATGATTTTATATAATTCCATCCTCTGCCCCCTGGTAAGCACTAGTTTGTTCTCTGTATCTGTGAGTCTCCTTCTTTTCTGTTTTACTGCCTAGTTTGTTGTGTTTTCAGATTCCACGTGTAAGTGATATCACACAGTATTTAAGACACTGATTTCTTATGTGCTTGGTCTGGCATTTGTTTGGTCATTCTATTTAGTGTGATTCCTGGATAAGGCTGTACACTGGCAATTTCCTTAACCAGAGTTACAATCTTTTGCCTGGTACTTTGTTTTCCCTTAATGCCATAAATCTGCATGATAACTTAGACGTAACTTAGATGAATCAGCCTCACTCCAGCACAGTCATTCATATACCTTCTTTCTATTTCTTGTGGTCTGTGTTCTCTTGTGCAATTTCATTCATTCATCTTCTTCTCCTTATTGTCACCATCCTCTTTCTTCCAATGCATGCCCTTGACTACACTGGTCTTTAACCGGCCTAATTTGTTTGCATTTCCCATGTACCGTCTTCCTATCACAAAATATCCATGCATGTAACCATCATCTACTTACTACTTATTGAGTATCTACGACAGGCCAAGGGCTTTGCTGTATCATTTCTTTAAAAATCTCTCAAATACCCTATGAAATGGGTATTACAGATTGTGGACTTTGGCTAAATTATTTACCTTTCCTGGTCCTAGTTTTCCTTATCAATAAAATATACACAATAAATATGAGTGCTAAAACTAGAAACCCAGTTTATATTTCTCCAAACCTGTACTCTTTCTAATAAAACGGCTGGACTCCTTACATGTGGACCAAATGCTAAGTCCAACACCCTTCAAACAAGTCAAATCTGCTGCTTTTAGATCTCTAATTAATTAAATGGTTCATCAATACCTGATACCTGGCTAAGGAACAATCACTCAACTTTCTGAGGATGTCTCTGGAGGAGCCACTCAGACAAGACAGAACAAAGCGAAAGAAGAGCTCTAGGGAAAGCAGTCAAAGCAAGACACATCCCCAAACAAGCAAAAGAAGTTTCACAGAACACACTCCTCTTCTTTCTATACTTCCCCTCAAGAAAATATCTAGAAAATACATTTTAGAGGAAAAATGAAAAGTATGAGAAATGCAAGGATGACATGGTACCCAGGAAATTAGCTGGCTCTAAATTTAGACTCTTCCATATTGAGAAGACTATGATCTGGATTTCATGGGCGATCCATAAGATTTCCAGAGGAGGAACAACTGTAAATGTTCACACCTAGAGGCCCTCAAGAGTGGCCTACCTCCCCATGAGGTCTCATCAACAGTGTTGTGATAAGAGCTAATTCATTCCTTCTTCCACTGAATTGCAGGTGCAGATGATAACTTGTAGACTCTGATGGGAAGCTGAGTGCCAGGGCTGAGCGAAGTCAGATGCAAATCTGATGGGTTACCTGCTGCCCAACCTTTAATTGCAGTTCACTAGGAAATGGGGTTCAATGGGGCTCTCCTTGACAATTATAGAGGTGAGTCTTCTACCAAGTGAAAAAGTGGCAGTTGAAAGGAGGGTGTGTGCAAGCAAGTAGGCCATGCTGCAGTTTGGGGTTGCTGTTAGTAAGGCTGTTATAGGAGGTTCCCGAGCCATCTTGGAAGACTGGAGATCATGGGACTAGATTATGGGTTTATTCTAAGTAAACTGAAAAGCTCCAAGTACTGGAAGGGAAAAAGCCAATATTTACTTAGTGTCTGAGAGGAATCCTATTTTTAATCTATCTGCCAGAAAGAATTGAGAAACCAAAATCATGTAGTTTCTAATGGGGTATCCAGACCCAGACTGATCATTTTAACTGAATGGGTAAAGAATACAAACAACAATAAAATCGTTACCATCACCATCATCACCAACATCATTATCACCATCATCATCATCATCATCACCATCATCATCATCATCATCA